GATTTCGGACGTTCAGAAACTGCAGGAGGATCAACAGTGGTAACAAACCCAGTTATTGGGTCCACGTAGACCTCCCCCTGATAAGAATTATCTAAAGTAAAGGCCTTTTAATTCAGTGTCTAATAAATGATAAATAAAAAACAATTGTTAAAGTAATCTACCTTCACCAATGTCAAGAGCCTTATCAAGTTTGCTCTCAAAATTATTCACGGCTTGTTTTAACATATTTCCCCAAGACGACCCACCTGATCCAGTTTTATTATTAAAGAAACTCATCTTTTCAGATTTAGTTAAATGGAACTTTAAAAAAAATAATATAATGGGAGCTAAATACACAATCTAAAATAAAATAAGGTTTGACAACTTGTCAAATTTTCGTTAGATCAACATGATTACTGCGCCTTATCAAATAATAAAATATATATAGTGTATTTATCAGGTTTATTTAATTTTCTCGATCTTTTTCAAAAAAAGTTTTTTTTTTTTTTTTATTTTATTTTTTTTTTTTTAGTATTTGTAATATTATAAAATAATGTCAAATAATCCTAATAATAATCGTTTTATGAATCATCCTTCAGGAACATATTGGCGGCAAGTTCCTATACAGCCACCAGCACCAAGTGATCCCCGAGTTGCAAACCAATTTCAAAACATTTTTTCTTCTCACGAAAGTGATGATAGTGATAACGACATACCAAGGCATAATGTGATATTTGATAGTTCAACGAATTCTCCTGAAAGCAGTACTCAAGAAGGTTCGCCAAGAACAACGCCTGAACTATCTTCTGCAATACGAATGCGAATGGTTTCACATATAGTTCCCCCTGTAGCAGAAGATGATAATCATGACAATGAAATGAATTCTGCAGGTTTTTCTCATGAAATTTTCAAAGATATAAATCATTTTGTTAAAACATTTTATAAATATATATAGACTTACAAATTGAATGATATTCATTGCTTAGATGCGTTTATTGCTGAATTTCTTAATTTAGATGGTGCAGATGATCTGGGTAATGATGTGGAAGGAGTTCCAGTAACACTTGATGAACCTAATAATGAAAATGAAATGAATGATGAAAATATACCTCAGAGTATGGTACAACAAGACCAATCAAATGGTAAAATGATTAAAAAATTGTAGTTCCAATTTTTAATAATAAAGTTATTTGACGAATTTTTTGAAAATTTTCCAAATAAAAAAAAAAAAGAACGTTTGAGATTTTACTTAACAGTTTTACGACAAAGAGTACGCGAATTGGACTCTGACGCATGGATGTATGTAAAAGTGAATAATGAATTTTCAAAATTCTAAGATAAAATCACGAGGCAATTTTAGGTAACTAATCGCTGTTATTTAAAGATTATAATAAGACATTAAATATAATTTAAATTTTTACCTTTAAATTTTTTTTTAAGCCTTTAGTAAATCAATTTTTCACGAATAAAAAAATTTATCTCATTACTTTCCTCATGAATTTTATACCTTTAAACCTTTAAACAGCGAAGGGTTCTTATACTATTCTGGATTAGGTTTAAAAAAAAAGGTGCATTTTCCAGCTTATTTATTTTTCTTTTTAGTGTAATTTTTAATTCTTAAAAAAAAAAATTACATACCTTAAATATAATAATTATAGGTTAAATTTCCAGAAATAGTTTGTATTTTTAACTTCTACAAGTTATGATTAGACAATTAAGGTACGCGTGAATTATTTGATCTTTTAATATTTTTTTAGTTACACTTTTTACTGTTCATCTTTAAACATCCAACATTTTTTAATAGCATACATCCTAACATTATAATTATATTTTTGTAACGATTCCATTTAGAAATATGCATTTTTGTTTTTGATGAATCAAGTTTTTGTATACAAATTTCTATAGACTTTAAAATTTTTATTGTTATTTAGTTTCCATTAACTAAACCAACAATGGTTGTAGATTATCATTGGTTAAATCATCATAAAATATTTATTAAAAAATTTTGTTCGATTAATCACGTTGTAATTTCATTTATAAGAATTATTCTAATTATTTGTGTTCAAGGAAAAAGGTAGATTAACCAATAAATAATAATAAAATTGTTTATATGAAGAATGCTAAAAGTTTTTTTTTTTTTATGCTACAAACAACCTTAGGTTTAAAGATTGTAATAGAAAATTATTCACACTACAATTACTAAACTTATATAGATAATAATTTAAGAACAAAAAGATATAAAACAGTTAAGACTGATTATTCATTTCATAATGTTGCCCGTTCCTCTTATCTTTAGAACCTTTATAATAATGAGCACTTTCAAATTCGGCAACGTCCACCAATTTTTTTGCATGTTCCTCAGCTGTTTGTATCAACTGACGCAAATTTTCCATTTGTTCATATAGACCCTGTGAAGATATTGGTCTTGGTTGTGAACTACTACTACTATCACGTGGTGAAGTCGAATGAACCTTAGAGGAGATAGGTTCTGATTTTGATGTGTAAAATGAACTTTCCTTTCTGTCGATTTCTTCATACATGTTTGATCTTTCTTGTAACCAATTCCAAAGTGTGTCGTCTTCATTTTCAATACGCTCATCAAATAATGGCATGTTTCCATGACGTTTACGAGGTTCATATAAGAAATCACCACTTCTCCCGCTGTATCCGAAACGATATTGACTACTATCTAAACCGTCAAGCCTATGTCCAATGTCTCGAAGCGTTAACCAATTGTTAAAATTACTAACTACTAGCATAAATAGTATTAATATTATTATTATATTTTTAGAGGGTATTGTGATAATTTGAATCAATGAAGTTATAATTGAGGTCATTATATTTAGGATTTCTATCACATGTTGTTGCAATGTCACTGGCCCAGTTTCCCGTGAATCTAATTCTTCCGCCGTAGGTGATGTTCGTGTACGAGTGTGCGTTCTCTTTAGCGGCGTTGCCGTTTCACTCGCAACTTCAGAATCGATAGCTTCATCATCTTGAACTGTAGTTCCTAATTGATCTATAAAATCTGAGAGATGAGCTGCAATATATTTCCTAGCAACTTGTGAAATGTTCTGCCAATGCGCTCGTTGTCCTTCAATGCAAGCCTTTTCAATCGCTCCTATGTTATTTTATCGGTACGTTAGTAATTTTAAATAGCTTTTATGAATCATGAATAAGTGTGACTTTTTTATTTTATCGCTACCTTTCAGCCAGCTCGACTTTGACCATTCTATAGCACAAGTAACGATTATTCTAGATTCATTAGTGCCTGCACACATGATACATGTTCTAGTCTTTACACAAAAATTGTTCCCAGATGGAACATCAGGTGTCGTAGCGGTGGATACATTCGTAATATAATCATCAAAATGTGAACATTCATCTTTAATGAAACATTTAGTACTCTTGGGACCTAATAAAACAATAATAAGATTTTTTAAATATTTCATTATTTTAATAGTATTGAAAATAAGTAACGCATTGATACATTCGCATATTAAATTTCGTTACCTATGGGATTATTCAATGGTTTGGTATAACTCTGCGATCTGGTCCATATATTGTCTTCAATTTTCCATTCTTCAAACTCAATATCTTTTTAAAAGATTACGAAATGTTTAATAATTTAACATCAAAAAATAAAAATTAAAAATTAAAAAGCTTCGTCATACCTGTACACTTATCTTCTTCTATGATGTAATTTTTAACCAAATCACTGACGAAAAGTAAGTTAAAAATTTTTTCAACACTACCGTTAAGTTTTGTATCCAATGAAACATTATCATAATGTTGACCCTTTTTTAAACAAGCACACTGAGTAGGTCGACGTCTCTTAACGGTATTGCTGGCTGTATGTCGAGATTGGTTACGGGAGGATGAGCGAATTTTTTCTGAATGTTTAGAATCGGAACCATTAGTATCAGGCAATTGTAACCCAACATCAGACTTTGATCTAGAGCGACGTTTCCTTTGTTCTTTGGCCACGCTAGAATTATCAAAAACACGACTTTGTAATGAAAGGGGTAAGGATTGAATATCACTATCCAATTTTTCTTGATTTAACGTATTATCATCGTCCGAAGACGAAGTAGGTCCACGCATTAATCTCATCGGATCAAGTGTTAATTTTGGTAAAGCAAATTTTTTACGAATCACCCCTTGTGATGATATAGACTTTACTGCATATACAGTTATGGTAATGATATGTTAAAATGGTTCAAGATCTAGTTGTACGGTGATCACCCATTCCCAAAAGCGATCTTTGCCATTATCCATTTTTATTGTCATCGAAAAAAAAAATCATTCACTTAGCATACCTTCATCGTCACTAGTTATAGAATTATTATTCTCTGATGTTTCTGAAGCATCCGAGTCTTTACGACTCGTGGAATTTTCAGATTCTGTCAAGGCGAGAGCCGGATGGGTCTGCTTCCACATCGTATACATCAATTCGAAGGCAGGATCTCTTGAAAGGAATGATGTAAAGAAATGCTAACGTGATATGATACGATGATTAGTAAAGGCCCGTATCACACGGGCGCAACTGATAATGTCAAAACTTACTTTAGCGTGCAGTGTAGAAATTAGAACAGCATTAGGAATAACAAATGCGGTCATCTTTTTCTCAATTGATAAGATATCCGAGAACGCGATTACCAGCTGCAACGAAAATTAGTAATGGAATTAAGTATCAAAATAACAATAACGATAACAATATAAAAATTTCTAAATGTACATACAATAGTGACCCATCCAAAAATATTCGCGTAGAAACAAACATGCTTTGCAGAAACATATAATCGGCCCTGGACAAGAATTTCTTTCTGCAGAGCGCACCCATAATCTATATAATATACATGAATGATAATTAACCAATTCAAAAAAAAAAAAAAAAAAAAAATTTTCAAAAAAAAAAATTCTCAAGTACCATTTATAAGGTAATCATCCTCTGGAACACTTCTGAATAAAGAATGGAATTCCGCGTTTTTTCTTGGAGCAGCAGGAGCATAACCACCCACTGGGGGAGATTCTGCTAATGTACTATCATCTATGATACTTTCGCTAGCTCCTTGACGATTTTTCTTTTTTAACTTTGAATTTGGTTTTGAGGTTAAGCGAAATGACTTTCGTGAATCATTATTATTTGAATCACTTTGATCGTTCACAGTGTTTTGAGCCGGAGGGATTTGTGAAGAGATATCACCGGCTATAGGAGTAGAAATGAAATCGTCGTCGTCAGGCTTAACAAAGTGCTCGATTTTCAAAGAACTTCCAGAATCGCTGAGTGTTAAAGAAGGTTTAAATACGACTGGTGTGTTGTCCACATCAGTCGTTGGTTCTGCTGTTCCTGCCAGGTTTTCTTGCCACGTAGTAGACGGCTCAGCGTCCACATCAATTTTGGGTTGTTTTTCTTCTTTTGGGGTTGAGAAACTTAGAGGGGGAGTAGGAAGTGAAGAGTTTACACTGGCTTCGTCAAGTTTGGTATTACCTAAATCTATTTTATCACGAAATGTATTTTGTGGAGGATCGGTTGTGCCTTCTTTAGATTGTTCACTATCTGAAGTATTCCTAGAAAAGGAATCCCTTATAGTAGAAGGCAAAGCGGACAAAGAAGAAGTTGCAACTGATAACATTTAAAAGCAAAGGGCTGAAGTAACAAAAAAGACTAAGTGGCAGGAAAATTTTGGCAAAAAAGTCGTAGACAAGACCAGTTGTAAACGGTTTTTTTATTTTTTATTTTATGAAAAATTTGATCCGGAAAATTTTTAGTGTAATTGAGCACAATGCCAACCATGTCGATCCTAGGAGCATAGAGAGATAATGTAGTAATAATGATGCTAAAAATATATTTATTACTGTTCAGACCTATTAAATTGCTTACACGTGACACCAATAAGACATAATTACGTAATGAACTAACTGGTTTTCAGCATTCACACACACATTTATTTGTAATATTTGTTAAAGTAAAGACGCCTTCAAAAGATCAATGATTATCAAATGTCCGAAAGATGGAAAATAAATGACAATTTCATGAACGAAAAAAAAAAAAACGCTCGCTCAGGTAGGGAATTGCTCGTGACGCAAGCTTGATTTGTCTTGTGTGACTATGGATAGTTTCATTTTAATATTGATCTGTATTTTTAATATCTGAATTATCAA